TAGAAAAATCATACATTCTCCACCCCACCAAAACCAGTATCTTAATACTGGTTTTCATTCATACTTCAGTTCAAATTAGTTAAAAAAATATTTTCTGGCTGAATGAAAATCTGATTAAAGGTAATGGTAGGACTGATAAATAATCTGTAATTTTCTACCAGTAAAAGCCTAGGTATGGAACTTCACATTTTTTTTTTCCTTTTTTTTTGTCTTTTTTCGTGACCGGCTATGGATCGCAACCCTCAGTGTTGCGCCCGTACCGGACCGGGACCGGCAACGGGATCGCAACCCTGGGTGTTACGCCCGCACCTTGCTCAGCCAGTGAGCGGCCGGTCTGTATGTGGGATCCGAACACTCGGCGGGAGCGCCGCCGCGCTCCCAAGCGGCGCACTGTAGCAGTGCGCCACCGGGCCGGCCCGGAACTTCACATTTTTAACAAAATCATTTGGGACACAATATTCTACACAGCTGGAGAGTCTCTGGGACATTCCCAGTCAGAACTGAAGGGGCAATGACCTTTTATACCATGTGAATCCTTTTACCTCCTCTTCACAATTTTAGTAAAAACATCACAACTCAAGCACATTTAACAAATTCATTCAACAAATATTTAGTATTTCTGCTATGCACTAAGCAGTTGATACATGGGATAACCCATGGCTTATCTTTTCATGCCAGGCCTCATCATAAGTTGAGCCAAAAAACCCTAACAGATATGAGTCTAGTGAGTCATTCATGTAGAAATTGGAGCTGGAAGATCACCATGTGAAGTGGGTCCTAAGGTCATGATGGCCATGTGCTAGTCAGAAGCTCAGGGGCAAAAACAGAGGGGGCAAAAACAAGGAGTAAACCATGGAGAGAGAAAGAGTAGATGGAACTTTAAATTCTTCTTAGGGAGAAATCACAGGGCCCACAAAAGAGAAATGGCAAAGGTCTCTCCCCACAAAAGCACACCACTGTTTCTTGCCGTCCCAGTTCCACGGTCCATTCAGGTATAGAATACAACTGTACTGATACTTAGTAGAGGTGGGACAGGTGGAGGGGAAAGGGGAAGAGGGAGAAATACAGTAAGGGACACAAAAACTAATTACAGTTTGTAATCATGAACATGCTAATAATGTTGACTTGATCACTACGTAGTGCACATAAATACTGATAGTCAACTCTGTACCCCATAAATATGTATAACTAAAAATAATAAAAATAAAAACAATAGGCTTTGTTTTCTTAGTCTGAGTGGGTCTCTGAGTCTCGATTTAAGAGGAACCTAAGCAGAAACTGAAATTTGAATAATTATTTCTCCACCATAGTACTTCACATATGTGCACTTAGGACACATAATGCTGGTTTATTTTTCTGTTTTCACATTTCTTCACCCTTGGCTTGGTGTCGTCCGCACCACAGTCAGCCAGTGAGTGCACCAGCCATCCCCATATAGGATCCGAACCTGCGGCCTCGGTGCTACCAGTGCTGCACACTCTCGAGTGAGCCTTGGGGCCGGCCCCACATTTCTTCTCTTTGAATCCTTACTTTAAGGAGTAAGCTGTAGCCTGAACATGTAAGCTTGGAGTAGGCATAGAGGACCTGACTATTACCAATATTCCCATGTTATAGGTCCTGTGACGGGGAACAGGCAGTGCGACCAGTTGGAAGAGTATTGGCTTTGTGTCTGTGAAACCCTAGGACTGAGTTCTGGCTCTAGTCATGTGACTGTGCCTACACAACTTTCATCTTCCAAGTCTCAATATCAATCAAAAAATATAAAGCTATGTTACTCTTGGGTAGGTTGTAGAAATACTGCATGCAACAGCAGCTTCTATCAGCACATGGTAGACAGCTGAAACTCTTCTCTCCCATGTGTGACTTACCCGTGATCATGTATCTCGCAATGAGCAAGAGTCTGTTCTGGAACCCACTCATACATTCCTTTGTGTTCATGAAAATAAATTCAGGTCATATCCAAGCCTGGGTATGTGTCATCTTCCAGATTCTTCTTGTTTCACTGCTCTATATTCTTCCTTCCTTTATGATGTCCCAAGGTACCTCTTTTATGATTTCCTTTCTTCTTAAGGAACTTACTTTAGTCATTCTCGTAGTTAAGGTCTCCGGGGAAGAAATTCTGTTAGTTTTTCTTCAGCTGAGAATATCTTGATTTATTCTTCATTCCTGGAAGATACAGAATTCTGGGTCGACAGTTCTTCTCTTTCAGCACTTGCTGAAAAATGTTGTCACACTTCCTTCTAGATGCCATGGTTTCTGAAGAGAAATTCACTATCATTAAAATTGCTTGTCCCCTGCAGGTAAGGTCTCATTTCTCTCTGGCTGCTTTCAAGATTTTTTTTTCTTTTTCCTTAGTTTTCAGAAGTTTGACTATGATATGTTTTGGTATGGATTTCACTGGGTCTGTCCTGTTCAGGGTCCACTCAGCTTCTTGAATCTATATGTTCATGTCTTTTGCAAAAACTGGGGAGTTTTCAGACATTGTTTCTTTGTCATCCCCACCTTCTCTCACCTCTCCGCTGGGACTCTAATGACACGAATCTTGGATCTTTTGCTATATAGTCCTACAGCTCCCTGAAGCTCATTCTCTCCCTTGTTCAGATTATTTCTTTGTCATCCCCACCTTCTCTCACCTCTCCGCTGGGACTCTAATGACACGAATGTTGGATCTTTTGCTATATAGTCCTACAGCTCCCTGAAGCTCATTCTCTCCCTTGTTCAGATTGGTTTATTTCTATTGCTCTGTTTTCTAGCTCACTGATTATTTCTCCTGTTCTATCCATTCTGCTGTTGAGCACATCAATTTTAGCTATTGGGTTTTTCAGTGTGAAGATTTCCATTTGATTCTTCTTTACATTTTCTATGTCTTTGTGAAGAATTTCTGTTTTTTTTCATTTGTTTTAAGTATGTTTGTAATTGCTTATTAATGCAATTTTATGATGGCTGCTTTAAAACCTTCTTCAGATAATTCTAACATCTCTGTCATCTTGGTGTCAGCATCTATGAATTATCTTTTACTGTTCAGTTCCTGGGTCCTGGTATAATGAATGATTATTGATTGAAATCTTGGCATTTTGCATATTATATTAAGAGACTTTTGATGTTATTTAAACCTGTTTTGGCTGGCTTTCCTTGACACTACTCTGGCTGGTGAAGAGAGGATGCTGCCCCTTTCTGCCAGGTAGAAGCCCAAGTTCCCTCCTTGGCCTCCTTTGGCACCTGAAGGGCATATCTCCTTGTTGCTGCTGGGTGAGGGTGGGAGTTCGGGCTTCCCACTAAGCCTGCACTGATACCTCCTTGGCTGAGAGGGGCGGGAGAGCCTTGTTGCTGTTCCCCATTTGGCCTCACTGACATCATAGGGAGGATGAAGGGAGTGTGGTCTTACTGCTACAGGGTGGTGATGCAAGTCCTGAGTCTCCACTAGAGCTCCTCTGACAACACCCCAGAAGAGAGAAGGGATACCTCACTACTCTCAGCTGGGGGTGTCAGTCCAGGCTTCCCACATAGGGAAGCTCACTATTTCCCCTATTTATACGGGGGAAAATATAAATTCATCCCTGATGGGATAGAAGTCTAGGATCCCCACTCGTCCTTTGCTTGCCTGTATGGGTGTGGGGATGAAGTTTTTATATAGGGTGCTTGGCTTGAGTAGAGTAGTTATTGTCTAAAAGTCTTCTGTCTTGCTAGGCTGCCCTTTTCCTTTCTTTCTTTCTTTCTTTTTTGGCCAGAGAAAGCAGGCTTTTTGCCTGCCGCTATTGTTGTTTCTGGGTTGTTGGGCTTCTTTGGCTCCAAGTGTGGGAAATAGGAGGGAAAAAAAAACAACCAGGAAACTCATCACTGTGCTGTTCCTTGAGTCTCGAGGTCCCTAGACAGTCTGCCTACTCTCCACCTTTCAGAGTCTTCTTACATTATTAGTTTTATATTTAAGTGTTTTTAGGCATACGCAGTGGGAGGCACAGAGAAAAGTAAGTTTACTTCATCTTCCTGGAAGCAGAAATCTGTCTCCATTAGCATTTTGATACATATTATTTCTACCTTAGATTGTAAGTATTTCATAAGACAATGTAAATTCTGATTGTCAAAGCAGCAACACAAGATATTTGTATTCCACTTTTTTTCTTTACCAAAGAATGTACGTAATGCTAAACCCTCTGCCTTTCAATTACCATCAGTGCTAGGTACTGAGAAGTCATGTTAACAGAGGATTACCTGACAGTTCACATTCTAGTCATCATATGAAAAATTTTGTCCCTGGGTCAAGGTAGACCACAAAACCTGCATATCTGGCACCTTGGAGAAATGCTTATGCTAAAACGTGCTAACACACTAGGCCCATATTGAAAAACATTCTAAAAAATAAGTGCCTAAATAATAATAATAAAAAAATACCTCATTTTTAGTGTTTGTAAGGGTGCCATTAAGAGTACTATTCACTATATCTCAAAGAATCCTTTATGAAGACAATGGAAGGATTTCCCTCAGCTTTGTAGTACAAGAAGAAAAACAATCAATTTATTTTTATATTTCGAAAGTTATAAAGTCAATAATTTCCTGATTTCCTTCTTTGAAGGCCTGGTAGTTCAGAGTCAAACTTACTATCCCCCACCCCCAACCCCAGTACCTTATGTACCTTGTGTTTACTGGCCTTACCCTTGATTTAATTTTATTTCAGCTGAGATTTTATTTTTATCCAGATTTACTCATGTACTTGTTTATCATCCAGCAGTACAGTATGCATTTTGGTACCTGGTCTTATTTATTTTAGAAACAGATGGATGAATGAATACATGAGAAAAAGAGGGTTTGTAAATTCTCCATAGGACAGGAAATGAACCTCAGGTTTGTTCTGACTCACAAGAGGAATTTCATGAGTGCTGCCATGTTGATCCCACACTTTCTCTTTCTCAAGAGGCCCTAAAATAACGTATTTGTTGTCACATAATTTGCATTGTATTTGTGAGATGAAGCTTTTTAAAGGGGCAGGAAAACACAAGTACTACCTGTAGGACCGAAGCTCCGCTGTGGAGAAACTGAAGACCACTTTCTGCTGAGTCAATTCCACCAGTGGCCAAAATGGGAAATCCAGGCAAAGCACGGGCAATGGAGGTCACAGCTCTCAAAGCAATAGGTCTGATCGCTGTCCCTAAAGACAATGAGAATAATCAATGGTCAGCATATTGCCTGTATTAGTCCATTTCTGTTGCTTATAACAAAATACACAGAGCTGGGTAATTTATAAGAAAATTAAATTTATTACTTACAGTTTTGGAGGCTAGGAAGTCCCCCTACATCCAGGCTTATCCTAATGATAAATCGTCTATAGATAAGTATTGCTGACCTCCTAAGAGCATGAATTTCTTCTGTACACATGCAACTGCTGATCATGTCTTTCAAAGGCTCTCTAGAATTTTTTTGTTATGTAAATTATCCACCTAAATTTGTCACAATTGGGTGAAATTCATTTACCAGGGGTCTACTGTTTTCCAGGAAGGTGCTGGACAGTATGCTGGGCACAAATAAATAAAACAGACACGGTTACCCTTGGGTGAGAGTAAGAGCCATTAAAGTACAAACGAAGGTAGTTCTAAACTGAGTCCTGAAGAAGGCAAAAGAGCAGCCACAGGACAGGAGGGATGGGGGGTGGAGGAGTGATCCAGAGAGAGGGGACATGCTCAGGGATATTAGAGCTTCTGCTTATACTTCTTCCTTACATATGAAAGAAAGAAATTGATCTTTATTAATGTTTAGTAAAAAGATTGACACTGGTGCCCTGACTCACAAATCAAACAAGGTATTCTGAGAAAAGAGAGGGAATTCCATAACTGAGAAGGGTTGACTTGAACTTAAAAGTTTGTGAAATCACTTATAAATAGATTAAAATTTAAAATATTTCATATTGATCTTATCCTTTTAAATTTCTATTTTAGCATAATTTATAATATAGGTACAAATTAGCATAGTTGTGCATTGCTTAACAATTGGAATAGTTGAGAAATGCATCATCAGACAATTTCATCATTGTGCAAACATCATAGAGTGCACTTACGCAAACCCAGGTGATACAGCCTACTACATACCTCCAGCTCCATTATAACCTTATGGGACCACATTGTATATATGAATCTAAATCTAAATCTGTCTATCTACCTACCCTACTTATCTATCCATACATCCACACCCCTTCACACACACACACACACACACACGGTGGAAGAGCTTTGCTTAAAATTTTTTTTTAATGGATGGACTATCAAAACACTTTGGAGGCTCTGCCTCAGAGTGTGAATACACTCCTCACCTACTTCATTGAGCCCTGTTTCACCAGCAATACCACTTTTGTATCTCACTGCCAATATAACTGGGCTATGTGTAGACCAGTGTTTTCCAAACCTGGCTGTATCAAAATGATCTGGAAGCTGTACTAAAATCAGATTCCTATAGGATTCTTAGGGCTGTAAAAATATTCTGTATGATACTATGATGGTGGATACATGTCATTTGTCCAAACGCATAGAATGTGCAACACCAAGAGTGAACCAATGTAAACTATGGACTTTGGGTGATACTGTTGTGTCAGTGTAGATTCATCAGTTGTAACAAATGCATCACTCTAGTGGGGGATGTTGATAATGGGAAGGCTGTGCATGTGTGGGGTATATGGGCTACCTCTGTGCCTTCCTCTCAATTTTGCTGTGAATCTGAAACTGCTCTAAAAAGATAAAGTCTTTACAAAAACAGTGGCTTTCTTTTTATCTTGTTCATATCCATTTCAGATAAAACTGAACTGGTGCATAAATAATGCTTTTGCACTTACCACCAAAGTGTTTGTGGAAATGTCTACTTGTTGCTTCCACATCTAAAAAGCTTTTAGCTTTTTTTTTTTTTTTTTATTCCTTTTCGTCTTT